TTCCCTACAAATGGTTTATTATACTGATTGATTTCTGAGTATTGAGCCAGTCTTCCATTTCCAGAATAAACCCCACATTTTTCCATATTGCTGGATTCACTTGGTGAATATTTTTTAAGGATATTTATGTTTATAATTATGAAGGCTGTCCTTTTATTTTCTTACGATGACTTTGGTTGTGGTTTTTGGGTAATGCCGTCTTCATAAAATGAACTAGGAAGTATCCCCAAAACTTCATTGTAGAAATTCTGTAAAATATTTATTTCTTCCTTAAATATTTGGTAGAATTCACCAGTGAAACTTTCTAAGTCTGGAGTTTTCTTTGGAGAATTTTAACTACAAATTTAATTACTGTAGTTATGTATTTCTTCCTCAGTGAGCTGGTAGCTTACCATTTTTTCTTTCTCTGTGGGTTTTTCTCAAACCCTATCAGTTGAATTCAGGTGTTTCTCACCATCATGGTAACACAGATCAAGAATTTAACACCTGTGCATTAGGGGCTACAATAGCCACAGGAGGCTGTGATGTCTACCTTGCTACTCAAAGGTGGCAGGAGAAGCTAGCATGTGAATGGCTGGAGCAACCAGGGGCATTTTTCTCCTTTGGCACGCCCTCCCATGCATATGGACTCAGGGACTTTGCTTTTGCCCTTAGCACTTTTGGCCACCCCTACCCCAGGTACTGCTCTCCCCACAGGACACAGTAGAATGGTGATTTGGGCCTCTGCGCCCAACAGCAGTAAAGTTTGAGCTCCTCCTAGAGTGAGCTGCTTATACCTACATGCCCGGACTTTCCTAATTTTTCCAATGGAAGTTCAGGATCCCAGGAACCACCTCAATCCCAGCAAATTGGATGGCTGGTCACCTTCATTCCTATCCCACTGAACTGGCTTCCTTCACTGAGCTTTGTTCTAAAGCAGCTGAGGCAGGAATTGAGGGGAAGGGGCCTTAGGGACCTGCAGGGAAGAGTGAGGCTTCTCAACACGAATCAATGCTGCCTGTTCCTCTCAATAAACAAACTCTCCAGAGCCCCCCAGGGGATAGTACTGAACTTTGCCTGCCTGCCTGAGAAAGTGCACCAAAGTTTTTTTTAAAAAAAAGTGCCAACATGTACATTATCATTAATCCTCAGAATTTGAAAAGCTCAATTTGTACCATTTTAAGTCCTTATTGGTCATCAGCGATGTGCTTACCATTAAAAGATTTCTAGCAAAGTAAAGATTGCGAGTGGGTGGCCTGCTCTTTTAACACACACACAACCAGCTCACTCTAGGAGAAGCTCAAACTTTACTGCTGTTGGGTGCAGAGGCCCAAATCACCATTCTACGTTGCCCTGTGGGGACAGCACTGGAGATCCTTGACTCAGTAGTCATAGACATTTTACTCTTTAGCTAGGGTCGAGGTGAACCAGGAAGGAATGGAAGGTAGGGTTGTGTGCACAGATGAAGAGAGCTGAAAGAAAGCTTAGAATAGATCCAGGGGTCTCCTCTCTCAACTTTTGATGGAGATAATTGGTTGGGATAAAGTAAAAGAATTGTAGAGTTGCTTACCTTGACTGTCAGAGTTACTGGTGCTCCAGAATACTGTTATGAGAAGTTTAGAGGGCCTCCAGAGGTATCCACCAATGTTCAGACTAAATAGTGTTAAGGTAAAGAATTAATAGGGGCTAATGGTAAAGCCCTAATCCTCTGAGGAAAAAAAGCGTTCTTCAGAAAAGTGCTTAAGAATTGTTATGTGACAGCACTATGGAGAAAACAGATAATCTACATGAGGGTAAAAGGCTGCCCTTCCACCTCTCTTTTGAAACAGGGAAAGGGGAGGGAGAGAGAGGCAAGAGAGGGGAGGGAGAGAGAAGGGGACAGAGAGAGAGAGAGAGAGAGAAGGGAGGAGGAGGAAGGGAGGGAGGGAGGAGGGAGGGGAAACATTGATTGGTTTCCTCCAGCATGCACCTCATCTGGGGACCTAACCCACAACCTAGGTATGTGCCCTGACAGGGAATAGAACCTGCGACATTTCAGTGTACAGGATGATGCTGCAACAAACTGAGCCACAATGGCCAAGGCGAGTATTCCCTCTCTAAGTGAATCTTTCTCCTCAGCGTATAAACATACTCAGAAATCTCATTAACAAACATGTAACAAAAAAGAAAAAAAACAATAAAATAACAACAGCAAAATAATATAAACTCCAAAAAATCTTAATTATAACCTTCCTCTATATTAATATCTTTTAATTCACAACCAAAATTCTGTAGGGAATAACATGAAGTCTGAACTTCTGCATCCTAGCTTGTAACTTTCCATTCACCCCTAAATATACTGCAATTGATCTTGCATTAATAGAATTACATCAAAACAACTCATATAAAAGTCACTGATGAACTTTCACTTGACCCAGTTTATCCTCCTTTTTCAGTTGGGTGTCCAGGTCACTCTATAAAAATTGGAATACCTTTGGCTTCAATTTCAGAAACCTCAAGTAAAAAGGGAGTAATCAATAAGGGAATTTTATTATCTCACATAACCTAGCCACACTCCTTAATAAGATGCCCGATATATGGCATCTGCATGGTTATAAATCACCAGTTCATAAATCAAGGACACTGTTGCTTTTCACTTTTAATTTTACCATGGTTGGACATGTTGCACATCAAGGTTGTGTGTGTGTGTGTGTGTGTGTGTGTGTGACTACAAAAGCAAAATTGTACAGGCCATCCATTCAGAGGATGTGTCTCCCTATGCACCTTTCTCAGACTGTGGAATCTCAGGGGGAAGGCAAAGGTGGGTGGGTAGAGATTAACCAAAGAACTTCAATGCACATATGCATAACCCATGGATACAGACAATAGTGTAGTGAAGACCTGGGGTGGGGGACAGGGGCGGGCTAGAAGATGTCAATGGGAAAAATGAGGGACATATGTAATACTTTCAACAATAAATATTTTTTTTCAAGTCTGAAATTTTTCCCCAGAAATCTTTTCATGGCCCGTAATACTATAGATTACATACTCACCTATACATGGTTCAAAGACAAGGGAGAAAAGATACCCATTTTCTTAAGAGATCCTAAATAGAGAAAGTTCTATTTGTCCATAGGACCCATGCCTACCTATAAATTAACCAGTTTCACTGGGAAACAGACCAACATGTGGACCCAGAATAATCAGCATTTACCTGGCTCCTGTAGAAAAGGGACGTGAGAGTTCTGCCAGCCAGGAGGGGGGCAGTGTTTTTTGGGTGGGTAACCAATGATGCCATCTGTATACTTTTTACTGGATTTTCTGCTTCCAGTAAAATTGTTTAGGCCTCCCATCTTCCGCTTATCCCTTAAATATTCATATTGGTAGAGTTGTTCAGGGCCCTTCTCCAGTCATTTTCTTCTTCCCAATTTGTCACTCACACCTTTGGGTCTGTCTACCAACTATATCTCTTGACATAGAAACCTATTTTTCTGCAAGAGATAACTTACCTGTGTTTGAACTGCTATCTGCTTGAATAGACAAGACAGCAAACCTAATTACCCCTTTGCAAACACACATGCGTGCGTGCGCACATACACGCACACGCACTCTCTCATATGCAGACATACGCACAGGCATACATACTCACACAAACATGCACACAATGACACAGATACAGACATGGACTTGTTCCAAATCTTTACTTTTTTGTTTTTGTAGCAACTGCTGAATTTATTCAGCATAACCATAGAAGTATTGTCTTCATACTGTCACACACAGACACAAACACAGACACAGCACAATGTCCATATTTAGCCCAAGTGTTTTCCTTCTGAGGCTCACTTATATGTCTTCATATGCCACAGCCCATCATTTAAATAATGGATATTTTCAATGCCAATCCCTTTGTTCACTTTCTCGATATCTTCCGCAGACATCTTCATAACGCCAACACACAGGGCATGCTGTTTTCCTTCTGCCATGATTGCAACAACAGTATCCGCTGCAGCAGGGTAAAGCTTGGCTCCAGGCGAGGTTAGGCCTGGACACATGATATTTGCGCCACTGAGCACAAATTTGATGGCTCCTTTATCAACTTGCTGTCGTGGCAGGATAAATGGGTATTTGTGTAGTAGCCTTAGAGTTGGATAAAAAGGCCCTTCTCTCTGTCGAAAAAACAGTAACTCTCCGTTTACCGTAAGGATTTCTATATGCTCGTGGCACCGCACTATTTTAACCGGATCTTTCTTAGGCATGATTTGATTAAGCCATGGTTCAATGCCCGGAAACTGTTCTATCAACTGGTTCTTAATACCCTTAATAACTGACGTTTTCAACTGGATGCAGTTGGACACGTTTTCTTTTTCATCAAATTTCTTGAACATGA